TGATGAAAAAACTGAAGAAAAAAATTTATACAATAATTTCATAATGAAAATATTTGCAAAAATCACTCGTGAGTGACCATAATAAATTTTTACCCTCGACTCGCAATGATATTCGAGGGTGATGCTTTGCAAAAGACTGAAAGTCGAGTTCCAATGAATTTCCAATAACGTGTTACATTATCGCGTATCAAGAAGTTTTCATTATACCTCGGTATAAAGATATTTCGAGGAATAGATATAAAAGCATCCGCGAAACGAAATATTTAATTATCGACGAGAAATCAATTCGAAATGATGTATCATTTATTCATCGATCGTATGAAATCAGCAATCGCGGCTGGATCGAAATAAAACCGTGATACGAACGTATCAAAGTTTAATAACATGCTCAGCCACAAATTAAATTAACGTGGATATTGCTCTCCATCAAATTTAAATGGATTAATTTTCGATTTTGATCGTCAATCTGTATAAATGCAAGTAACTAACGAGATTATTAAGTCAACGTAGTTAATTCGGGTACCGGATGACATTGATGTATATATTTCCGACTAATCTTTGAAAGATCAACTATTTAAAGCAATGTCTGTCTGTCTCGGAAAGAAGGTCGAAAGATCCGTCTGCTATTCCATTGCTATCTGCTGTTTCGTAATAAATAAGTATTGAACTTATTTATGAGCTTGTATCTAATTAATAATCTGTGATGTCGATACGTTCGTCGAATCATTAAACAATTTTAATTTCTCGTAATTTCATCTCTACGATTTCGTACGCAACGATTCCGTAAAAATTCCTAACTTAATGAGCTTTTAAAGCTTGTTCGAGGTGTCATGGCAAATATTCAAATTTTCTCTTTAATTAATTGGTTTTTTTTTATTTAAGAATGTAAGATTCATTTAAAGAAAACGAAATATACATTGATGAATGAATTTAATTTAAATGAAACATCGTTGAATTCTACTTGATCTATGTGATTTTTTTAAGAAAGAAATTATTTTTCTATTTAAGTATGATAAATAAGAGATTTCTCTCAACATTTAAAAAAAGAAAGCTAAAATTAGAAATCTAGATCCTTATTAAATGCATGTAGCTTTCTAATTTCTAATTTCAAATTACAAATTAAAAAAATTGTGGAATTTAAAATATTCCAATACATCTTAAAAAAAAAAAGAAAAGATAGATATTTTTTGTTTGATCGAGAAACGAAACGATGTATCAAAATTACGATAAAGTTCAAATCTTCGAAACTACCTATTCCAACAAAACGATCGATGAATAACGAGTGTAATTATATTCAATTACATTAAACATGGCCACGATTAAAACAACATTATATAATTAAATGAGTATCAGTAATAATAGTGGCCATTAATATCCATCTCTACGTCTGTTAATCCGATCGGAAATATTGATCATTTTTCACCACGAATCAATCATAACCCAGAACGTCCTATTTCCTATAATTTACAGCCGGCCGGAGACTTCCTTCTCCTGGTTCCTGAATCCGTGGAAAGCGTTTCGCTACGTGGTATGCCGCTATTATAGATGGAGGATAATATGCTGCATCGTGTGCTTGCTGTTACTGGTGTTGGGCGGTTGCGCGATTTACGCCTTCCCTGGCTACATGGTTAAACGTCTTCTCGGCGCTTGAATCGTCGGCCTACGACGAAAGAAAACGATCAGAAGAGATATCCGGTCGATCCATTGCAGCTGGTCTGCTCGTAAATCAGGAATTGTGGTATGGATGAAATATCGATTCTGACTACTCGACGACAAAACCAGTTCTATATTTCAACACCAATTAATTGTGAGAGAACACAATGGATTCGCCTATTTAATCCATCATTTTTCTAATTAATTCTTTATAAATTCGAATCGATAGATCATTTCGTTCTCTACAGCTTCGAAATAGTAACGTTTAATTAGGATTATTTGTTATTAAATATTAGTTGATATTTTGTGTATCGTAGATTTTATGTAGTTTACGAGTAAAATAATAAAATATATTGTTATATCGATTGAGAATGAGAATTTCTTTTCTTTTTTTTTTTTTTATTTAAGTTGAAAATATGGAATTTCGCGAATTGGTCGTGTATGACCATGTTTTGGATGGACAAAAGAAGAGAGATTTCTCTGAGAGAAATAAATGGTTCGTGCAATTTTGCATGTCGAACCTATGGAAATGAAAATTGAAACGTTCACAGGTCGAATTCACTCGGCCAGTTTTCTGACGGATGCACAGAACTATTTGCAAATTCCTTTTTTTTTTTTTTCGAACATTCATATTCGCGTATCTAAAAGATATTGAAAAGCCAGTGAACTCATAAAAAATTAAACTAACGAAATAACATTTATTGAAGTATAATCTCGTATATTAAATCATACATGCTATTTATTAAACTTTGTGATGAATGAGATATAGTTTTCTAAACTTATTAAAGTTTCTATTAAAATTCGTATATAATAAAAATTGATTTCTTTTTCCTTTTCTCCAAATTACTTCTCTCAATCTTTTCAATAAATTATTTTATTACTTATTTAAAATTCACGTATTCACAAGTTAAATTGGATTTATCTTTCTCTAAAGAGAATTAAAAATATCACGAAATTTAAATATTCTCGATTAATATCCACTAAAAAAAAAGATATTCAAAATATTGTTATTACAAATAAATTATTGATTTAATCATAATCATATAATCGATTAATGATTGCTGAATTAATTATAATTTTTAATTATTTACTATCTAATATAAATTACCTAGCATAAATAACTATTTAATAATCACGATTAGTAACATAACTTTACATTAATCATACAATTTTCAACCGTTATATCTTGTTTCAATCGTATCCATTTATTTATCACAACGCGACACGTCGTTTTTCTGCTAAAAATTCCACGCGAAACTGATCGATATGGCGAGAACACGCGAGGAATAAGAATGCAGAAAATCGTGGCGGGTTTCATCGACCGTTCACTTCTTCTTTCGTGATTCGAGGCACTTTTTAAGGATCATTTGCTCGTCGGTAAATGCGGTGTCTTGGCCTACGCGGTTCGATAGACGAGCTGCCAGGTGGAAAAGAGGTAACGTGACGTAACTGGAAGATCAATAACCCAACCGTTTTGTTCGAAAGTTTATTGAACTCGACTTTTCTTAATGGCCGTTGTCTTGTGACCTGGTCATCAGACGAATCCCCGTGTTTTCTGTGTCTCTTTTACGATATCCGTGAAACAACGGGTTCGTACGATTCCTTTGTGCCTTTCATCCCTTTCGTTCTCCCCTCTCTCCTAAAGCTCTTTACCGTTCAACTCGAGGGGACGCTTCTAATCTTCCTCTTCGATGCGATTCGAGTTGTGACTTCGCGACACTCTTCGAAAAAAAAAAAAAAAGGAAAAGAAAAGATAAATCCCGACTATTGGATTTATACGCTTTTGTATACATTGTATACAGCTTTTAAAGTAAAAGTGTCGTGAATGGTTATGATATTTGTGTCGAGATGGGATCAAATAAAATAAATTTTTCGTTTCATTCTTTTGAAGAGTACTCTCTGACAAATCGTATATGCTATATTCGATCAAAACGTAACGATATCTGCGCGTGAACTTTGAATTAAATTTTTTTCTTTTTTTTAGATGAAAAACGATGGAAATTTATAGAAAGTTTTATCGATGTTTCCACGAATCGAGAGAGAGAGATAAAAGTCGTAAGTCTTCGTTGTAAACGTTGTTGAAACTACAAATTTATATTCGTTTTTCTTTTCCTTGGAGTAAAATATTCTTATATAAATATAATATTTCCGCTCGTTATTGGTATTAAGATCCGAGGAAAATTCGAGGAACGTGATGCGAATTCTCGTTGCAATGCAAAACCTATTTTTACTCGGCGGATTCGACGAATCCATCAAGTATGACTGACACACGGATGCGCGAGATGGATGTGTCGGATGTCCACACATTCCGCTAATGAATATTTCTTTCTCCCTATTTTTATATTTTAGAAACGCATTAATATCCTAATGTTCAAAAATTTCCACGTTATCGTTGCCACGGTGAACGTAATTATCTTACACGTGAATACTTTCGAAATTTAAATCTGTCGAATAAAAATTATGAAATATAGAATTTAAAAAAAAAAAATTCCCTTCGATATAATTTTCAAAATTACGCTGCGAATAGAGCAGAAATACGAATGTATTATATCGAAAAACACGAGGCAAAGTACTTGGAATAAACACGGCCGCGAATCAATGACCGGCGTCAGGCGAAAGGGGTGAACACACGCGAACCTGCATGCGGTCCCGGTGGCGAATCCATAGTTCACGACCGCATTCGCGTTGCATGCTGCCCGTCGAAAAACCAGGTCTCTGGGAAACCGTTAAACAGATTCCAAACAAGCGAGGAGTTTCGCGGGCTGAATGGCCTCGATGCAGCGGGCCGGCCGAGTTTGTCAGGCCAAGTTTTCGGCCCGAACCAACCTAGTAAATTCACTTATTACGGAGGAACACGGAGTCACGCGAATGCATATGGCCAAGTCTCGGTGGTGGTGCATGCACCCGCCGCGCCGCCGGGTAAATTCGGTTTTAATGCATCGCGTGCCCTATCCGGCCAAGTATCTCTCGATTGCTGGGGAGGTGGGAAGGCCAATGACCCCCCAGCCCGATGAAAAGTTTCCGCCAGTTTCGCGATAACGTCCGGATTTTCGCTTAAGACACTGCTGCTGCTCCACCACCGATTACCACTCTTGGATTTTATGATGATGGAATTATCACGATGATTAAACGACGAGATATTCGGCCGGAATTTATGCGTTTTTCGAAGATATTAATTTCTCTCGTCTGTCTTGATCTCCGTGTTTCGTTAATGCGAAAGTTAGAATCTGTTAAGTCTGGTATTCAATCTGGTATTAAAATTTTTTTAAATATTCGATAATACGTATACGTGTATGTACATACATGTACTTCGAAGTCTCAGAGAAATTTGGTTCAAAAAATAAACGCGCAATCCGTGAATCTAATACGAAAAATCTGGTTGAACGAGATGTTCGCATGAATGTTTAAATCGGAATTACAAACGATTAAAGACGTTGAATTAAATCCCAGATTTAATATTTTTTTACTATATTTTATAATATAACGCGTGCAACGTTACCGTCTTCGATTAAATTATATCCCCAGAAGACCACAGAGTCATAAATAAGACGGTAAGGTTGTTACCTCTATTCCACCGAGTTATCTCTGGGGCAGTTGCACCGCAAACTAGGAAGAGCAAGTTTCTGACGACTATTTCGAGGGAAAAAAAAAAAAAAATAGAAGAGGCAAAAGAGGTTGGAAATAAGGAACTTGGCCGTTTCCCGGAAGTTTATGAATGGGCGGGGAAAAATTTATTCGTAAGAGGTGAACGAGGAACAAACAAGTTTCGCGATGTCAGCTAAATTTTTTAAAACGTCTGAGAAAAATAACGTTGGTTCGTTAATGGTGGTTGAATATACGGTGGCGAGAGAGACGAGATATTGTTGGCTGATCTTTCACGAGAGTTCTCATTTTCACGTGAAAACCATACTCGACGCGAAAGTAAATATCAAGATACGCGAAACACGCTGCGAAACAAAACCTGGTACAATTTTCTTGGGAATTTCGCGGAATTTCGCAATGAAGCAGAGGCGAGTCGATTGTTGGCCGTTGGCCAGTTATCGAATCCCTATTACATCGTGACCATTAATATCGCAATCGTAGACACACGTTCGTGCCTCGAAAATTTAACGCCGCGAGTTCCTGGAACGAAGGCGGCGGAATAAATTTCGTTACATTATTTAATGACCATAAATCGTCCCTTCTTCCGTGCTACTTCAACGAATGAGGACTTAGAACGAGGACTTCTGCGTCGCGGCTACCAACTCTTTGCATTTACTTTACAACACCTGGCCTCGTACTGCACGCCAAATAACTTTATGCAGATCGAGTATATAAAACCAAGATAAATAAATTTTAGTTAATCAATGTATGATGTGTAATAACCATAACGATGGCAATTATGATATTTTATTGCTAATTATAAGAAATATATTCGAAGAACATTTGTATTTTCCAATAGTTATATATTTTGCTGATCTAAATTTCACAAACTTTTAAATTTGAATAATTTAACTGTAAAACAACTATGCAAACTAATCATTAGTATGAGACACTGCGAGAAAACTTATCAAGTCTTTGAAATTCGAGTAAAGAAACATACCTCTATGAAATCTAACATATGGGTCGCGACAGAACTTTGTGAAAAACTTTCATAAGACAAATTTCCAAGCATTCGCACCCTGTTGTCAGGAAAGAAGTGTCGTGCATACAGGGTTGCAAACGAGGTCGTGCTAAAGTTTCTAAGAAGTTTTATGAACGATAATAAAACTGGTAGATCATATTTTATCGTAATATCGATGAAAGCAAATTAGAGAATTATAAATATTTTTAATGAAAAGCACGATTTCCTTGTAAAAAATGTGATAAATTATGTATGTTGATATAAACTTGCTGATAGGTCACGTTTTATTTTTATATTTTAGCATTAAGAATCTTTTTTTGAACAAATGAAAGGATAGAATGTAAAGTATAAACGTTAATTTTAATATGCAATTTAACCTATTCTTATAGTTGTTTTACAGTCATTTTATAATCATTATACTTTGAAATTTTTTTTTTATTATCTGAATTATTCTCTACTAAAAATACTCAAACCTTATTCTTTATGTAAATGATAATAAAAAAAAGTCTAAATTATAATTATAAGTCTTATCCTTTATATAGGTAAAATTTTTGATTATCATTGGAGAAACTATTGGAGAAATAAAAATTTCTCATAGTAAATTCATAATCGTGTACTGATGTATTCGTATTCAAGGGTATAGTAATTTATAATTTGTTTACAGGCGATTTCATCTAGAGTGCTTTGAGTGCTTTTTACGAGAGCCCCCGCATTCTAACGAGAATGTTGATGTTTCGATGAAACTCAATATGATTTAGAAGGTAAAAGCCTTTCTTCGAGATGACGAGCTTCTATCTTCAATTATACTTGACATCTTGCAATTATTTGCCCTATATTCATTTTTATAATGGAAAAAAACGCAGTTAATTATTAGATAAAATAATGATTTCAGAATTTCTCGCATAACGATTCTTGTAGTTCTTTTATTTTTATCGTATTGCTTCGATAAAAAATTTAGTTTGAAGCATGATAATTTTATAAACAATTTTATAAAATTCTATTTTTATTAATTTATCTTTTTCAATGTATTTATATATATAGATGAAATATTTGGGATTTCAAAAAAATTATTTTGTTACGTATTCATAACCTATAAATTTATAGATCAGAATCTCGATCAAATAAATTACGAGAAAATTCGAAATAATTCAGATTATTATTCTAATGGCATAACGAACAATATAAATTCAGATACTTTACTTACTACATCGTAATTGAAGATTGTAGAAATGTATGATTTGATTTTCTTTTGTTGCACAAGAATTCTTCGTTTCTTACAAATATCGTCTTCCATGAATAGCATCATGGTCGTAGTCTATCGAGAAATCGAATATCGAGAAGATCCTGTTTCATGATACAATATTATTTATGCGACTAATTTACCACAATAAGAATGTTTTATAAGTATAATTTTCTATAATATTTTAAATTCTATAAAAATTTAATAACAAATGAATGGTGATTTTATTAATTTTCGATTCCATTTCAAATTTTCGATTCCATTTCAAATTTTCGATTCCATTCCAAATTTCTTATTGAATATTAATGTTCAATAAGATCACGTATATAAAAATTATACTTTGAATTACGATAATTCATTTCATTTCCATAAAGAAAACAAAAACAGAAATGGTAAAAATATGTATACTTATGTATTCCAAACGAATGCTTGCACGATACTTGCATAATGATAGATTTGCAAATTATCAACAATAATCATTAAAAAGTATAGTGACTGACTTATTATACATGTATTGCACTTTTACATTCACAGAAATATCCAATAAAATAATTTTGCGATAGGCAATTGTCATTTAATAACATACTTAACCTCATTCTTGTAATAATAATTGTACGTTTGAAGTATTGCTGCACAATATTTTCACTATTTTATACACTTTTTAATTCGAAACAAAATATCAAGCTTATAATATTATTATGTTTTCATTAAAATCGCGCGAAATTAAAACTCGATACTTTGTACAATGATATTCTTTTATATATATCGTACATTAGGTTAGAAAGAATATGTTCGTAAGAATATAAAGTAACTATATATATATTCACATAATTCTTCGCTGGTAACCAATATTTTGCAGTCATTCGTCTCTTTTGACTATCCTTTTTTATCGTGAAGTAAAACAAGTAGAAACGGCTGGCAAACATCGAAGCGAGAGAGAGAAAGTCGCGTCGTTCACCCCTCATACGACCACGTGACCCGAATGGCGCCGACGGCGAGTGCGACGGCCCTGAACGCTGAGCGA